CCCCACCTCTTCTCCCCATCAACCTCCCCCCCAGCCCTCCCCCCCCAGCGGCTCTGCCTTTCCATGACCCGTTCCCCTCTCCAGAACAAAAGGGCCCCTCCTTCTCCTCCCGTTAGGCCCTGGAACCGGCGCTGCAGAGGGGAAATCCGCCTAGCTCTCCCCTTTATTGCTTCTTTTCCTACTTCTTTTTTTTTTAATTGATGTTTCTATTGAAATACATAGGTACACAGAGATCCATTCATTTCGCAGAGTTTCTCAAACTAATCTCAGAGCGAAAGGCCAATCTATGACTTCAGTTGTAGCCATCAATGGGTATCATCTCTGATCACCAATGCCATACTCATCGTTTCTTGCGTACTATTCCGTGTGGTCTTTCTCTGGTTATAGAAATTAAAAAGCCATTAGCGATTCGACCTATTATTTTTGACCCTTTGTTTTACGAGAACATACAGTCGCGTTGTCGTGGCGTGTCGCAGTCAGAGTTCCCCTTTGTCTTATTTTGCGTCTAATTATGTGTATATTCTCTTAAGAGACATTGGATCATTTGGTAACATGTCAGATGCCGTTGTGTGTATTCTACGAATGGTAGCCCTTTCGATTGGGAACTGGAGCGCTGTCAGGGTGATGGCCTCCTTGTCTTACGTTTTCGGTAGACCCCAGACTTTTGCTCACCCATTCTCTAGGGTGGGAGGCTTCTGAGGTTTCTTTTCCCACTCAAAGAGCTTTCTTTTCTCTTGCTCCGCTTTGCCAGTGGGGGATGTGGACGTGATGGTGGGGATGTGTTGCATCCCTCTACCCACTTGTACGACGCACAGCGGCAGTCCGCCAACAAGTTGGAGGGCAGGAGGGTGGAAATAAATAAAGAAAGGGGTCCATTAACTTCCTCCTCTCTCTCTCTCTCTCTCTCTGCTTTTTGCTGTCTGTGCTGGAGTCCTTGGGGAGAGGATGTTTGGTGGGGGGAGGGGAGATCACGATTACGCAGGGGTTTTTTCCCCTTCTCCTTCGCTAATGGTCTCTCTCCCTCCCTCTCTGTTTCCGCAGCCACAGTTCACTCTGGGGCGTGCTCACCGCCGGCTCCTCGGCTGCTGTTCCACCGCCCCGGTTCGGCGAGGGGGCCCAGGCTGCCCACGGTGCCAGGGAAGATGCCATCCCGGACGGCCTCGTGGCTCTCGCTGGGGCCCTTGGTGGCGCTGCTTCTCTGCGGTCCGGCCGTCGCCATCCAGTTGCCCAAAGACTGTGAGTCGCCGAGGCCGCTGCTTCTTTCCCTTGGGCACGGCTGGCTGGCAAAGGGGTCGGGGTGGGGTGGGGTCGGATCGTGGGGGGCACAGCTGAAGAGTGACGGCGGGGGGCGCTGGGCATGGCGACGGAGGTTGCTTTGTGGACTTGGTGCGTTTGCGTCTGTGATTGGCTCTTCTCCTGGCATTTCCTTTCCTCCTCCTCCTTGTTAGTTTCGCAGAGCGCCGTTGCCTGGCAGGGAGGGTTGCCAACTCCGGTTTAAGGACATTCCTGGAGATTTGGGGAGGGTGGGGTTGGGAAAGGGGGGGGGACTTCAGCTGGGTTCATTGCCATAAAGTCCACCCTCCAGAGCAGCCCCACCTACCTGACAGGGTGTTTGTTGTGGGGAGGGGAGGGGAAATGAGATTGTAAGCTGCTCTGAGACTCCTTCAGGTAGTGAAGGGTGGGGTATAGATACAATCTCCTCCTCCTCTTCTTCTTGAACCGGGTTTGATTCCTCACTCCTCCTCCACATGCAGCTGCTGGTGTGACCTCGGGTCAGTCACAAGTTCTCTCAGAGCTGTTCTTTCCGGAGCAGTCCTCGAGAGAGCTCTCTCAGCCTCACCAATATCACAGGATGTCTGTTATGGGGAGGGGAAAGGAAAGGAGTTTGTAAGCCGCTCTGAGACTCCTTCGGGTAGTGAAGGGTGGGGTATAAATCCAATCTCCTTCTCCTCCTCCTCCTCTTCTTCTAGAACCGGGTTTGATTCCCCACTCCTCCTCCACATGCAGCTGCTGGTGTGACCTCGGGTCAGTCACAAGTTCTCTCAGAGCTGTTCTTTCCGGAGCAGTCCTCGAGAGAGCTCTCTCAGCCTCACCAATATCACAGGATGTCTGTTATGGGGAGGGGAAAGGAAAGGAGTTTGTAAGCCGCTCTGAGACTCCTTCGGGTAGTGAAGGGTGGGGTATAAATCCAGTCTCCATCATTCGCAATAAACTTCAAACCGCTGTCCAGGAATCGGTCCAGGGGTGGACTGGCCGTTTAACTTACTGAGAGTTTTCCTGGTAGGCCACCATCGATGGCCGGGAGTGAGCAAAGCCAAGTCTCAGACACACTTCTAACACCTCCGGCTTGTGGTTCCACAGGGGCTGCCCAGCTTGGCTTCCTCCATTTTCACTTCCCACCCCCTGGGTCCATCTATTTGTCTGCCTTCTCCTGAACTGCTTTGTTGGGAAGGCAGACAGTGAGCGGAAGGTGACAGGCAGAGACCGGGACACCTGCAACAGGAGACAGCCCTCCTCGACTGGCACCTTCTGAGAAGAAGAGGAGGAAGAAGAAGAGGAGGAGGAGGAGATTGGATTTATACCCTGCCCTTCACTACCCAAAGGAGTCTCAGAGCGGCTTACAAACTCCTTTCCCTTCCCCTCCCCACAACAGACACCCTGTGAGGTAAAAGAAGAAGAAGAGGAGATTGGATTTATACCCTGCCCTTCACTACCCGGAGGAGTCTCAGAGTGGTGTACAAACTCCTTTCCCTTCCCCTCCCCACAACAGACACCCTGTGAGGTAGGTGAGGCTGAGAGAGCGCCTTCGAGAACTGCCCTTGAGAGAACAGCCCTGAGAGGACTTGTGACTGACCCAAGGTCATGCCAGCAGCTGCATATGGAGGAGTGGAGAATCAAACCCTTTCTAGAAGAAGAAGAAGAAGAGGCGGAGGAGGAGGAGATTGGATTTACACCCCGCCCTTCACTCGGAATCTCAGAGTGTCTTACAATCTCCTTTCCCTTCCCCTCCCCGCAACAGACACCCTGTGAGCAATGTTCCCTCAAAGCTGTGGAGTCTTGAGAGCAAAAATTCTACTTGGTGGGCAACTGGCATTGAAGTTGTGAGTGAGCTATTTGGCTGCTGCAGTAATTAGTCTGCACTGGAGCTCTCCTTCCTGAGTGAAGACAAAAATGTGTGAGCCGGAGGCTAAAAAACTGTGACCCAGCTCACACTAACTCGGCTTAGAGGGAACACTGCCTGCGAGGTAGGTGGGGCTGAGAGAACTCTCTCAAGAACTGCTCCTGAGAGAACAGCTCTGAGAGAACTTGGAACTGACCCAAGGTCACACCGGCAGCTGCATGTGGAGGAGTGGGGAATCAAACCTGGTTCTCACAGATTAGAGTCCTCACCCTGAACCACTACACCAAGCAGAATAGCACTGCCTCATAGAATCATAGAATGTTAGAGTTGGAAGGGACCTTGCCAGTCATCTAGTCCAACCCCCTGCACTCTGCAGGAGCAGAGCCAAAAGATAGCCCTACATACCTACAACATACCTGAAAGATGGTCGTCCAGCCTCTGCTTGAAAACGTCCAGCGAAGGAGTATCCACCACCTCCCGAGGCAGTCTGTTCCACTGCTCAGCCACTCTTACAGTTAGGAAGTTTCTCCTGATATTTAGCCAGTAACGACTCCCTTGTCATTTTCACCCATTAGACCTAGTCTTGCAATCCGGAGCAAGAGAGAATAGATCCGCTCTATCTTCTACATGACAGCCCTTCAGATACTTGAAGACTGCAATCATGTCCCCTCTAAGCCTTCTCTTT